TATATATTTATATAAATAATGTTACTCTGCTCACCTTTGTTGAAGGGAAGGCTAAGCACTTGCTAAGGCTATGCTTAAGTGCTGCGCTAGATTTCAATTAAAATTCTCTTTTAAGGCCACCTCTTTAATAGTGTTTGACTGTAATCAATGGAATGGACTAACAGTCCATCACAACCAAAGTAAGTAGAACAACTATAACTGTGCCTGTGCTGCCAAGTTGAGGGAACACCTGCATAGAGAACCTTAAAATGAGGCAGACTGAAAAATACAGGATGTTGGTTTACAATGAGATCTTAACGTATGCATGGGAAGGAAAGCTATGAACAGGAGCCCATAATAGTGCATGGAAAGAACCTTCCTGAATGCCTGTTTGCTAATTCCGTCAATAGCATGAAAATACTCTTGCATGTGAACAGCATTAGGGTTACCCACCCTGTGCAGGAACATATGGACACACCTGTTTTGGGAAAGTGGTAGGTTGTTTTTCTCTGAACCAAGTGTCCTGTTGAGGAACTGGAGTTTTGGTTGTGTGTTAACTTCAGCTTTGCTGGCCCCACTTCTTTTGCAAGGTGCTCTGTGGTATATAGTAAGTAGACAAAATCTTGGGCTCAGTCTCCATAGCTGCCATAGTGTCATACTGCATACATATCAACTGCCTTGGAGCAAAAATTAATTAAACCCTACATACAGCTGCTTGTGGACTCTGTGGTCTTCTCTGCTTTCATGGTTCCCAGAGTAAGGCAGCTCTAGCATGTGATAGCACTAGCTGAGCTGCTGGGGTATGTGTGCCCACTAAGACAGTATGAATCCTGTGTTAAGTAGTTTTGGGGACTTTATCCAGTAAAAAGTAAAGCCAAAGTTCCCCTATGTATTAACTGTTGTGGTCATCTGCTAAGTGGCATCTGCAGAAGTGTATTCTTTCTAAAATACAGGAGAGGCCCCTAATACTATTACTAAGTATGAGCAAGTCATAGTGCTTGACCATGGGATGTGATGGAATCTATCAGTGATTTTGTATGACAGCACTGCAGACTGAAAGCAGGTAGATGTTTCTGGATTCCAAATAAAAAGCCATTTGCTTTTTGATTTCTTAGAGAAGAAGGAATAGTTTGAAGAAGTTTATAAACTCTCTCAGGCTGCCCTCATTTTAATGCTGTTCTTTCAGTCTGAAATTAATTTGTAAACAGTATTGGGTGCTGAAATCTGAAAGAGAGGATGGCTTCTGTTTGGATGAGTTACTGTTACCATTTTGGACAGGCTATTGATGGGATGGTCTGCCTTCAGTTTTCTTATGGGAGACTACATTGCTTTTCTGGAAGGAATGTTGGAATGGATTTTAATTGTCCTGGGTATAACCTGTATAAATGTAAATGTGAGAACTAATGGGCTTTCATGCCTTCCATTGTGCATTGGAGGGGGAGAGTGTGATGTAAGATACTGTCAACTACAGAAGATACTGCCATACCAACTCTACAGACTAAACCAAATCTTACCACCTTCATAATAGACTTCTACACAGGAAAAGTGTGGGTAAAAAGTGGTAGTACCTGTATAAACTGTATGTTACCTTACAGGTGGGAATCAGCGTGAACTTGCCCGCCAAAAAAACCTGAAGAAGACTCAGGAGATTCACAAAGGGAAGAGGAAAGATGATAGCCTGTCTGCTTGTCAGAGAAAACAGAGGTTAGATCTAGTACAGTTGAGTGAAATGATTGGGGAAAATAGTAGGGTAAAATGGGTCAGAAGGAATCCAGTGTCTTAGCTGAAACAGAATTTAAGAATTGTGCTTTGATTCACAGTCCATTCACATGCCAGAGCATAAACTGTGGATGTAGGTTTTACTGTATCTGCTGTTAAACAGATCTGTCTTTCATAGAATCACAGAATGGTTTAGGTTGGAAGGGACCTTAAAGCTCATCCAGTCCAACCGCTCTGCCATGGGCAGAGACACCTTCCACCAGACCAGGTTGCCCAAAGCCCTGTCCAACCTGGCCTTGAACACTTCCAGGGAGGGGGCATCCACAACTTCTCTAGGCAATTTGGTAAGACCTGTGAAGCTTTTTATTTATTTTAGCAGCTTTTTGCTTGGTACAAACAGGAAAAGATGATGTTGAAGACATCTTGAAGATGTTTGATCCATTTTGTCCTTTTACTCCTAAAACTAAAAGAATTACTTAAGGTCTACTAATGAAGTAATCTGTCTAACTCATGGAGTACTGTACTGAAAAAAACCAGGATAATAGGAACAGTGTGTTCATGGCTAACTGAGAAGTTTTGTACTAGTCTTCCTCTTCTTGAGATGGAGGTTGCTAAAGGGCAAAAACAAGCTGGAGGAGACTCTACTTAGAAAAACAGCCAATATCTGAAATCCAACTTTTTTTATTTGCAGAGACTCTGAAATTATGCAGCAAAAGCAAAAAGTGGCTAATGAAAGGAAGTCTCTGCAGGGAGGAACAAAATGAGCTGCCCGTATGGAGAAGATAGAGTGCACCAATGAAGCAGTAGGGCCTAGAAGATCATTTAAAAGTGTGTGTCACTTCTAGTGTCTGTCATTATATGATTAAATGTCTGTCATGCAGAGTTGTCAGCTAGTATTAGTTCAGAGTATTTTCTGGTTAGCTTTGTCGTCTGGAGTGCTGCTGCGAAACTGACTGTTCTCTTCTGCATGAATTGTGAATAAAAGTACGTTACTTGCGCTTTTGCTGTATTTTTTTAGTTTCACTTAGTGGTTCCAGTAAAAATGAATTTCTTAATCTATAGTTAGACCTAGATTTTCTTGTCTGAATTCTTGAAGTACAGATTCATTCAGAATGGAACACACTTGTAAAATGTACTTAACCCTGCAGAAGTCTGAACTGTAAATCTCACCTTAAATTATTTTTACAATAAAATGTTGCATGAAATGTTGTCTAATTTGAAATGGTTATGCTCGATAATCAGCTGATTTCTAAGAAGATACCAAGAACACAAAGAATGGATAGAACTATAGAGAAATGGAATATGAGTATTTAAGTATAATGGAAGTATAATTTTTTTAAGATGAGAAATGCGTATTATAAGCAATATAACATGCAGTCTGCACCACAGAAGAAGATGCCTATTGAGTTGCAGACTTCATTGGTGTGTGTAACTGTGAATCTGCTACTAACTTTAGAGAAGCTGCAGGCTTGAAGTTAATGAGTTGCAGATGTAAGCAGATCTTGAAGTTGCTGTGTCACTAAAATTATTTAAAATTGCTTCTTAAACTAGGCTCAAGAATAAAACTTAGTGTGAGAAATGCAGTGCTTGCTTTACAGACATGCTTGAGTGTGCTGATTACTGACTGAGGTGAAAATGTTCTGAATCTCTGGAAGGAGTGGACTTTGAAGCCTTTGCTTGTATAAACTAATGCATCCCAGTGCATTTATTGTTAAGAGGCCCCTGGCACAGCTTGAAGGGAGTTTGGAGATAAACGTAGCTGGTTTTGGCAATGTAATACCTGCCAGCGGTGAGAAATTAAGCGAACTGTTTTGCTTGCTTAGTTGGCTGGGTCTTTGTCGCTGCGCTCAAGTTTACCGGGCTCGTGGGCGTAGTCCCCGCGGGTGCAGATGCCGGGCACTTACACCGAGTTCAGCCGAACTCACTGG